AATTATCTACTTTTTATGGTAAAAGATTATTATGATTTCCATAAATATAGATTGTTTTTGTTTTTGTTTTTGTTTTTGTTTTTGTTTTTTTTTTGCTGTCATTAATTCTGTTTGGCAACTGATTTTATTTTCATGAAATTTTTTTTTAAAATTAGGGGGTGTTTGGCTTCAAGTTGTCCTTCCCAATTAATAGTATAGATATATATGTATAAATATTTCATAAATATCTTATAAATACCTTTTAAAAATAATTTAAAAACCTTATCAAAACCTTATAAATACTGTTTAGAACATTTTAAATGTCGTTGAGAACTTTATCACCGATAATGGTGCTCTTAGTAATATAACAATCAGATATAATTTGTTTCTTCTTTTTTGACAAATTAATCTCTTTAACATTGTATGCTTAGTGAAAAGTTTGTTAAACAAATCATTTAAAGAATTTATAAGGTTCTAAACGGTATTTATAAGGCTTTTATAAAGTTTTTAAAAGGTTTATAAAGTTTTTATATGGTTTTAAATGATTTTTAAAAGGTTTTTAAAAGTTATTTATACGGTATTTATGAAATATATATATAAATTTATACATATAGAAGGATAATGTGTGTGTATATATATATAAGCTTACACAAATTTGTTTTGATAAATTTCAAATTTTTAGTGACTTTTTGATAAAATTTGAAAGAGGAGTATTTTTAAAAAAGCGGTATTGGTAAAAGGGTATTTTTGAAATTCTCCCAAAATATGTATATATTTTTGTCATAGTATATGTAGGCATATCAATCAGGCTGGTCTGGTGTGGTCCAGTCCAAAAACAAGTAAAGCCCTCATATATTTGAGCCCGCTCCGATCTGGCTTAATAAATATCCGAGCCTATATTGCAAAGCCCGGCCCGGCCCGACCCTAACAGGGCTACAGGGCTTTTCGGACTTTTCTGAGCTTTACTTACGTATAAAAATTTCAACTTCTAAGTTCATAATAGTTTTTAAAAAAATATTTAAAGGTATATTATAAAAAGAATGCATCAATTTTAAATAACTTATCAATATTCATTAAAACTATTTTAATTTAAGAGATAAAAATGAAAACCAAATAAATCGTTTACACTTTAACCCAATAAAATATGAAACTAAAATACATTAAAGTAGATGATAGAGTCAAAATTTAATGTACTTCGATGATTTGAAAATTAAGATACTTATATATACTTAGTTTTAGCTTTGTTCAGTTTTGACGTATATAAATAAAGAAAATATCATAGATAAAAATTTTAGAAGTATTAAGTAAAGATAGTAAGTAAATATGAAAACCAATTCATTAATCAAATCTTCTAATTACACTAAAATATTAAAAGAATTCAAAATATATTTGTTTAAGAGTTTCTCGGGCTGGTTTGAACCCGACCAAGTTAAGCTCAAAAGACTCTTTACTCTAAATGAACTTAGCCCAAAAATTCCGATTTTTTCTAAATATATAATATTTAAATCCAAATCTGATGTTTTTAAGATCGGACTAATCCGTGACTTTTAAACCTAATCGACATGCCTAAATATATGTTCGCTATTCTTTAGTCCAAAATAGCAGCATAGATATAATAATTGTGTTATTTGGCCGACTTATATTGTTATTTGCCAAAAAAATAAATAAAGATAATTGCTAATATTATATATAATTTGTTTATGCATATCCAATTATTTGATCATATTTGACTCTCAAGTGATAGTGATACATATGTTTCGTCGTCATATGGTAATCATTTATTAGTTTTTGGATCTCCACTAATTGGAGTATTTTATTTTTGTCGGAATCGACCCAAAGTCTTCGTCAAATAAAATAATTGATATGGTTTTGATGTCTATTTAAGCAAATACTTACATTAATATATAGTTATATTCACACAGTAATATAAAACTTCGTAGATATATACTTTATCTATTTAAATTTTTTAGACAAAAATTAATAAAATATATAATTTTCTAGTTTTCACTAAAAAATAATAAAATTATATGAATTCAACCGATAAAAAATATAATGTAAAATACGATTGACCAAAAAATATTAAATACATTAAATTTTTGCATAAAAAATTGAAAATATCACTTATAGTGAAACAAACAAATTTGGCTATAACATCATTTAAAAAGAAACAGAAAAAGTGTCTCATACTACACATTAAAACTTTTTTTTTGGCACCAGCATTATCTAAAAGCCCTTATAATATAGTGTCCAGTTTGTACTCATAGCCTTTATGGTAGTGAGGTGCCCCATGCACAATCTTAGGTGAGGAGTTTATCCCTTTAACTAGGCGAAAAACCCATTTTATATTTGTATAGTTTTAAAAGTGTTGATTTTACCTGTATAAAGATGCAGTACGAATTTATACTGAAATTTAAATAAAATTCATATTTCATATCTAACTAATACAAATACTAACAATTTCGGACTCCACATTAACAGATGTTGACTCTGATGACACGTGTCAAATAATTGAGAACATGAGAGTCATGTGGCATTGTGAACGGTAGAAAAACGTCATTTTACTAATACTATGATTTTATTTTAATTTTTGTCAAAAACTTATATTAAGAGACTCAGATGAACCAAGAGTTGGGGACCTTGTTTACATGGATGCAAAGATGCGGTTCAGCGCGAACAATGCGTGCTAATTTATCCGCCTGAATATTATAACTTCGAGAGATCTTAAGTAAAGAAAGAGAAGAAATCACCTCCCTATCTGCTTGGATCTCCTATAGGTATGGATTAAACGCTGGCCATTCTATTGGGGAATACACCATCTCCACCAAATCGGAACAGTCTGTAATGATTTTCATGTCACTTATGGCTGCTTTGGTCATACACTTCTTCGCCACACCAATGCTTCAACCTCCGTGTGTACTGAGGATATGCTCAAAATTAAACCAACCATAAACAATAAACCAGTGTAAGAGAGTATAACAACAATCCAGCTAGCATTCCAGAAAAAAAAATATAAGCAACCTATCATGTTTCTAAGTTCTAGAACAATTCCTAACATTATTCAGAACAACCAGCGAGCCCCTAGATCATATTTCTCTCCTCGCCATGATTCCACGGTCAATCATATCTTTTACCTCCATCATAAAAAGAGATGCATAAGTATTTATTTACATAACAAGCAACGATTGAGGCACTCATCTCAACTATTGGGCTATACACACAAGCAGTAACCATCATTAAGCAAAACAATCAAAATCAAGCAATTAAGACACATAAAACGCCACAGGTGACGATCGGTGTCGATCGACACTCGCCCTCGACACTCACGGTCGACACCGAGCTCGACACTCCATTCGCGAGTCGTAACTATCCTCGCGTAACAAAACGTTGGTGTCGAGCGACACACACCACTGGTGTCGATCAACACCTACACTCTGTACACACTCCAGTTGCGTTTTCTCGTTGTATCTCCACTCCTAATCACTTCCAAACCATGAGCGAGTCTCCAAGGGGTTTCACAAGGTTCATACAACACGTAAACAAGCAAGGAAATCAATCAAACAATCATCAAAACACACACAAAAACAATTATCAAACTGCTTAGATAAGCCTTGGTCATGCACTCACCTTTGAAAAGAATGAATAACAACGAAAACAAGGGAGAACAAGGACGGATCTGATTGTTCTAACACCAACTACCACAGATCTAGCCTCCTTTAGTCTAATCAAGCAAGAACAAGCCTCCAAATCTCACTAGAACTCTCCAAAAACTCACTGGAATCACCTCACACTTCACTATTATTTTTACAACTTTCAAAAGCGGCTGAAAACCACTAGGGTCAAGTTCTCCCTTTTAAACACGAGCCCTAAGGTTAACCTAAACCAATCCAATTAAATTTTGCAATTAAATTGAACTGGCGGAACCGACAAAATTGTGGTGTCGATCGACATTAACCACTGGTGTCGATCGACACCCAAACCAACACTTGGTTCACGGATGTTACATGCATAACCACAAAGACGTCATGTTCCTTACCGAGTGTTACGACTTGGTGAAGATGGTGTCTTCTCCGTACTAATGGGCGGTCTTCTCTGTTTATCTGGATGATATTACTTTTCATAGAGAAAAAAATTTTACCTTGTTTTTATCTCTTATTTCTCGAAATGTAAATGTAAAATCGGATTTTTTGTCGCGAAATGTTTGTAACATTCCGTTCATTGTTAAATATGTAAACGACTGTCCTCCAAATCAATTCTTTTGAACTAATTTCTTTTAATGATGACAAAAAAAAGATCGACCCCTTTATACACTTGTCTTGTTTTCGATTTATTTAATTTGATCCAGCTTTTGATTCCATGTTATTTATATTCAGCCCTTCATTAACATAAAACTTTTTCAACTCGATTCACAAACGCAAGTCTTGCATCCACCACACACGGAAGTCTTGGTTATGTTCCCACTACTATGCATATTAATTATAAGACACATGTGGAGCATGTGAAGTCAATAGCACATACCAGAGATGAACATGTTGACGAGTGATTCACGCAATCTGAATGAGATCCACACAATCGGATTTTTTTAGATTTTCTTATTATTATAATATAAAAGGTTGGGTTTTAAAGTCTTACTTAATTTTCTCGTTATTATGAATATTGTCCGTTTTGGATCCATTGCTTAAACACGCACCAATTTAGTTTTAGTTATATTTTTAAATGGTCTTATACTAACTAAAATTGGATTTAACTCATATATTAAAAAAAAAAATTTCTGATCTTCCGATATGAAAAGTTGGTTTGTATTCCAACATAAAACATTTTAAAAGAAAAGTCACGTCATACTCTTTGGCAGAAATGTTGACTAAACATTTTAAAGACATTTACATCTTACCAACAAGATAAGAAAGAGACATCTTTGGTCATTGATGACTCTTCCTCACATTGAACCAAATGAGATAACATTTTCGGTGTATTTAATTTGATCTAGCTAAGTTAGGTGATGCATAATAATTAGACACATGAGATCATAATGCATTCCATGCAATCGGATTTATTTAATTTATATTAAAATCATGTCAAAAGAAAACTCACAATCTTATGGTGAACATTATAAAGAAATTAAGTTACATCTTGGATAAAAGATAACGTGGATTTGGGGAGGCAAAGTAAAGCAGTTCTTTGTTCTGCTCGAACCGTACCATCTCATCTTCAGGCAGTGTCACCCATGCTTCAACTCCTTGTCCGTCCTTGGTATCGATTAACACAGTCACATTTTCAAGAACTGGAGAAACATTTCCAACGAACCAAACTGGAAGACCCCATCCGAAGCAAGTCTTGTAAAGAGGCATCTTGCACCAACTAGTTACAACGTGCATGTCATAAAGCTCGTAGCTAAACTTTGTATCGGCCGATGCTTTAAGCAATTTCAAACCTATAGTCAAACCTGATGACCCTTCTTCATGTTGAATCAAAGGAGATAACTCCTCGGATCTTTTTTGTAGTTCCTTAACAATTTGTACAGTCTCCATCTGGCCAGCTTTTCCATTTAAGGTTAGCGTGGAGTACAAGGGGTTACCCATTAGGTTTTCCGATAAAAGGGTTGGTATCTTGGCACGCAAGTTATTCGCTTGGTACAGTACTTTCTCACGAACTGTGTCTGTCGATGCAGCCACAACACATTTCCATATAAGTGAAGTCAAACTCTGGACCCGGGAAGGTCGAGGCACGGCATCACTAGCGACTTTTTTCTTGAGCTCTTCGACCTTAGATCCTACAAACACAAATCTCTTAGTGACACTTTGTCTTTTACCTAGCCGATCCTCCCCTGGAATATGAATGGCTCCAGTTGCTGGTGGGTAAATCTTTGTGAAAGAAAAATCAGGATTGGCCAACGAGTCGCTCTCTCCTCGAGCTGTGGCAGCCCAAGATTGGATGAAATACGATAGAGCGGCTGCATCACCGAGCTTATGGCACATACCGACTCCTATAGCCAAACCACCACACTTGAAGTAGGTTGCTTGCGCAAGAAGCAATGGCCATGTAGAATTAGTCTTGGCAGCTTCTACAGGAAGAAACTGTTGGAGAGATTTCATATCTGGGGCTCTCATATAACTAGAGAGAGTGCAGCTATCGGCGCGTGCCTCCACAAAGACAGCTCCTTCGTCTGTACTCTCGATGGTGACTCCATTGACTCTTCCAGCGAAAGGGTGGAACTTTGTTAAGGTCTTGGACAGGGAAGTTTTGAGAGTTTGGGAAGTTTGTTCTTGAGAGATCAAATCATCTTTGGTGTAGAAAAGATATGTAACCGCGTAAACCGGAGCTATTATGACATCCATAAAAGAGAGTTGAAGAGTTGGGAGATCATTTGGAGTTGGAGTTGATGGCTTTATGATCTCTCTAACAATGGTTTCAACCTTGAGTGTAACCATCTGATGATCTTTTTATCTTTCTCTTCTTTTCTTTTGGTTGTCTCCTCTTTTGGAAGAAGAGAACTGTTTCTTATAAAGATCCAACTTGATTATATTTAGGATTAGGAGATCCAAGTTGATTAAATTTAGGTTTAAAATCATCTATACACTAAACATATATATAAAGTATATATTTTAACCCAAAAAAAGAAGTATATATATATATATATATATATATATATATACGTCAACGGTTTCGTTGGGGTTATTGTAATGGCCTAATGGGACAACTTGGCTTTACCAATCTCTCATTCATCCCTTTAATTAAGTAATCAGAATGAAGTAATTAACCATATCAACTAATTAAATAGATTAAAACAATTAATATTATCTAAATAAAATAATTATATTAAATCATTAAAAACCCTAAAACTTAACTAATTAAGTCAATATAAAACCTTAAATCTGAAAGCCATTAACCCGAATCTGATATTTACAAAGCAACAAGGAAGTTTGATAGAAAAACTATCATTTCATTTTACTATAGAAAAATTGATACAGATGAAAAACCACCCAATTTGAGTAGAAAAACTAATTCGTACTATATATATAGAACAAAATATTTCTTCTATATCATTTCAGTTTATTATATATATACACTATTTTAACTTTTTTAAAATTATTATTATTATTAACGGGCCAAAACATATAATGATAAAAGAAAAACCCATATCGGAGACCACTGGAAACGAGATCTGAAAATAGACAGTACACTGGAAAACGCAAATCTCATCTTTTAGATCCAACACTAGCAAAGACTCAAACCTCACCTATTTTAACATTTCATCCAAAGAGAGACATCATTATTCAGTTTTACAATTTATTTATACCGCATTTACACATATTTTTTGGATCTGAATGTAGCTTCTTTGGTCTATGGTTTAGTATTTTAAAGTTAAGGTCAATTTAAGTAGATTGTAAAAAATACCATAGTTGAAGGAAAATAGCTTTTTGAATTATAAAAAATTGTCATATTTTAAGGAAAATAGTAAAATTAAAACATAATACCTTAACTATATAGTGCATCATATTGTCCCGAAAAAAAAATTCCACTCTTAGCACATGAGCACTAAAGTTTTTTTTAAAGAAAAACAAGAGTAAAATTAATTTCACTGTCAGCACATGACATGTTTTGAATGAAAAGAATAATGATATTCATCTCAAAACTTCAATAGAGTAATTGCCCCATAGATCCTATATCTATCTATATATTGGTTCTTTCAAATTTTAGTTGACTATATGGTTTAAAAATAAGAATTTGAGTCATAGCATTGGCTACTGAATCGGCCACGACTCTTCTTTAAAGATCTAATTGTTTTTTCTTGTTTATCTTTTGAATTAAATACTAATTTGATCCCAAGTTTGACTTATATTATATAAGAGAACAAATGCGCAAAGTTTATTGAAAATATATATAATCTGTCATATAGATTTATTTTAAATTCATTCTATATCACAAAGTTTAATTATGTTTTTATCAATTACTGGAAAACAAAATCACCCAGATATTTTTATATATGATTAAATCTTATATGATAGCGAGTATAGAGTGTTCCAATTAACTATATAATTAAAATAATATGACTTGTATGAGTTGTTGTTTCAAAATGATTATTAAGCCAACAAATTAGGCAAAATCGACATATCATGTCACATTTATTAATTTTTTTCCATGTTATTTCAATACTTTTATGATTCATATATTGAGATACCTTGCTTTCAAGTTTTGTTATCAAAAACATTGTATGCTTTCAAAATACCACTAAATGAGTTAACGACGTGTGTTATAGAAAGGGTAAATGTATTTAATTAAGACTGATTCGGCATAACAACTCAAAAAATAAAGAAGAATTGTGAATTTTTTCATGTATTAAATTATAACAAACATATATGATAGTATTATTGATAGATCTCCGTCAAGAGCTTAGAACAATACTATATCTAAAATATTTTTTTATATTTTATCTTTAGTTTATATTGACTTTATATAGAAAAATAACTAAATAAGATAAAATCAAATCAACACTAAATTTCAAGTTATGTATTTTTATAGTGACTGTTGATGTCAAGTTAAATTGCTTATTTCTATATATTATTAAGTTTTTGGTGCTAATTATGTATTTTTGGATTATTATTTATAATGTAATTTTATTTTATAATTTAATATTTGATTGTTAGATTTTAATAAATGAATTTAGTAACTAAGATTTTTAATATAAATTTATGTGTATATTAAATTTTATTATATAGTTTTGTCTTGATACTATATGAGAAGATATTAAAATTGTGGCAGTAATTTGTAAATGAAATGATTTCCTTCAAAAATATATAAATATAGTATTACTTAAAATTCGACGCAATATTATTTAGTTCTTTATTCCACCAAAAAAATATTATTTAGTTCTTTATTTTTGAAATAAAATGTTTTTATATTTAGAGATGATTTGATACCAATTACCAAATATAACTTTAGAGATTCAAAAGACGTGAACGTTTCGCCTTTCTAGTTGTCTATTCTGAATTATTGTTATATATAAAAATTAGAACGTGTGACACGTTTTATTGAAATTAACTGATTTATATTACATGAGAGAACATATAGAAAACGAATATAATAACATGCAACGTCAATTAAAACCACTTATCTGTCACAGAGATTTATTTTTCCTTGTAATTTTTTATATCATAGTGGTTTAATTTTTATTCAATGACTAGAGATCAAGACCACCAATATATATATATATATATATATATTCATTTTATATGAGAGAGAGGATAATGCGTTCCAATTAAGTTTTTGTTAAATAAAAAATTATTAATAAATGATTCCTGAAAATTTATGAGAAATACTTTTTTTTGGTGTACCTTTTTTAAAAATACCATTTTTTTTATTCCTTTTCACCTTTTTTCAAATATGAAAAATGATAAATTATAAATTTGTATATGGTTGATAAGATACATCAAGATCATCATTATTACTGAGAGACTAAATCCAAATATTTATAAAGTTTCAAAAGGTTTTAAAAGGTTCTAAACAACATTTATAAGGTTTTTAAAAGGTTTACACAGTTTTTATAATGTTTTTAAATGATTTTTAAATGGTTTTTAAAAGGTATTTATACGGTATTTATGAAATATATATATGAATTTACACACATATAAAGATAATTTGTGTCTATAAATATAAGCTTACACATGTATTTTTGATAAATTTCAAATTTTATAGTGACTTTTTGATAAAATTAGAAAGAGAAGTGTTTTTAAAAAATGGTATTGAAAAGGGGTATTTTTGAAATTCTCTCTTGTTTTAAATGATTAATAAATTATTATAAGAAAATACCATTTTCTAATATTTTTTCAAAAATATTATATTTTTGAAATTTTATCAAAAAGTCACTATAAATTTCAAAAAGTCACTATTATATTTTTGAAATTTATGTGAGTGAACATTTAAAAAACTTATAAATATTTGAATAAAGTATTCCACTAATTTTCTTTATCTGGAAGTATCTTATAAATCATATCAAACTTTATAATTATCGGATAGATGAAATGTACATTTTTGAAAATGAGTACAACAAAAAGGGTATCAATTTCCCTAATACCAATCAATTACGCAAAATCGAGATATCATGTCAATTTCCCCAACTAATTTCATTTTATATATATTTAGGATACTACCAATCGAGATATCATCATCACATTAAATTCCATATATGTTTCTTTATAAAATGCATACCCACGAAAAGGTGATGGTATCAAAACCGAACTCAAATGAATGTCAACGATGAATTGTAATAGTGCATGTAGAGAAATTTAACCACATATGTGATCATCGATATTATGTGAGTGAGAACAAAGCAAAAAGATAATAACATAAACAAATCCTTAAAAAATATAATAGTGCATACAAATAAATTTAATAGAAATAATTTGACCATTTATATCATCAAAATACATTTATTATTTTGTCAACTATCCTGGAAAAAAAAAATAGAATTAACCATCATGAAATTTAGTATATTCAAACAGAATTTATGAAACAGTGTTATGTTCATTGTATCTTTTTGAAAAGAAAAAAAAATAGAAAAAGAAGAAGAGAAATCTATATCGATTCCTCTCGATTGTTTCCTTGAATTGTTTTATGAGTCAAGATTGTGAATTACTACCTAAAATCATTATTTCATAATATATTGAAAAAATTAAGAAGATGAAGACAACGAATTGGTTGTCGTTAATTATCATTTCTTTTCCTAATCAAGACTAATTTGATCACAAGTTTGACTTGTAATATGGAACGTCAGCTAAATACCCTACAATTAGTTGTCATACAAGTTTATTATTCTTCTTATATTTAGGAATTATTACTAGAGAACAAAACCACCCATAAGTTTTTATAAACGTTTAAATTTAATAATAGGTATATTATATGATAGCAAGAATAACGTGTTCCAATTAAAATATGTTTACTATAATTAATGAGTGTATGGTTAAATATGATTTGTGAGTGGTTTTCAAACCTCAATCAAATTTGGCAAAATCGACATATCATGTCATGTGTCATTAATGAAGATCTGTTCCCAAGTCATTTCAATTTTTTATTACTTCGATACTACAAATTCAGATATTTTCGAATCGTATTTAAGCATATTCCATATATATCTTAAATATATGTTTTTTATGGTATAACTAAGAGATTTTAAGTCTAGTCTTGTACGTTCTATAAAACTAGAAACTAGATTTTTTTTGGTAGGATAAAACTAGAAACTAGATTATAGTATGATATTTATATTTTGCTCTATTAGAAAGATACTAACTCGAACTTTAAGTATCCAAATTATAAAGATTAAAAAATCACTCTGAAAATATTATTTTTAATTAAATTATGCTAATAAACTTATTGTGATATTTTTGGAAATATAAAAGAGAATTTTTGAGAAATACCCCTTCTGGTGTATCTCTTTTTAAAAATATCACTTTTTCTATCTATTTTTAAAAATATCCTTTTTCAAATATGAAAAATTATTAACTTTTATATGTTTAATAAGGTACATCGAGATCATCATTACTACTGGGAGACTAAATCCAAATATTTATAATGTTTTAAAAGGTTCCAAACGGTATTTATAATATTTTTATAAGGTTTTTAAAAGGTTTACACAGTTTTTATAAGATTTTTAAATGGTTTTTAAATAATTTTTAAAAGGTTATTTATACGGTATTTATGAAATATATATATATAAATTTACACACATATAAAGATAATTTGTATCTATAAATATAAGTTTACACATATGTTTTTGATAAATTTCAAATTTTATAGTGGTTTTTTGATAAAATTAGAAAATGGGTATTTTAAAAAAGTGCTATTGGAAAAGGAGTATTTTTGAAATTCCCAATATAAAATTATTTTGAAAAAATAAAATCATTTATTTTTGTTTTTTTCTAACCTTTTACGGAAAAAAAACTTATTTTGATATTCTTCCAATCTTTTACGAAAAAGTATTACATAAAAAAAATGTTAACCTTTCACAAACAAAAAAAAAATTGCTTAAAATTCGAGTAGGTTTAAAGAAAAATAATCTTAAATTTCTGACTTAAAAAATAGCACAATTTCTTGTAGTGCGCGATAACATGAGAAAAAAAAACACAAACTTATCTTTCAAAGAGAATTACATCTTTTATATTTATTTATTTTGGTAGGTACATGTTTTAATGAATTTTATTAGACAACAAGAAAATGATAATTTCTTTTTATACAGATTTTTAACTTGTATTATTGTTTCTACATGGAACAACAAGAGAAGTATATATAGCTAGGAGTGCTCATGAGTTTCAGATGTGAAGTCTTCATCAGAGTTTAGTGAAGCAATCGTAGAGCCTTTGAGTAATATATGAGTGCCCAAAGACTGTAAATGTTTCTATATGTCGGATAATGTAGCAGAACATTATTCTTGTAAACTCCTCTTATGTCCTGCAAAAATGTAGCATTAATAAGCAAATAATTTCATTGTGATTTTGATAATATAAACTATGATTATAGGATTTACCTCTTGTGGGAAATCGCCATTATCCATCTGTGAATTTATCAAGACTTTCGCACCGCGATGAACTGGTGAAGGGTCGCGATCCATCTGACCACTCAGTATTAGAATTATCAATGCTTGTCCTGTATTCACAATATTGCTTTTGTTCCCTTCCAAAGGTATGTACATCTTCTTTGGACAAGAGAGATAACTCTCACCCCAACCACCTTCAACATTTTGTGTCCTTAGAATAAATTGGACCGCTCTACGAATTGCCTCACAGTTTTCGTAAGTCTTGCCAGCAGCTACTAGACCGCGAATAGCGAAGAAGGTCCCGGGAATGAAGCATACTCCCCAGTTTCCGAACCATGAGCCATCCGGTGTTTGCTTGCTTTCAATGTATTCAACTCCTTTGGTTATAAACCTTTGTACTTCTTTTTGTCTGTACTCTGGATGCTGTTTCAAGAACCGTACCAATACAACTACCGCTGACCCGGTGCATTCTAAGTACTCATGCTCTAGAATTGTGTCTTCAATGAACTCTATCGGACTAAGCCACTGTATTTTGAATTTGAAAATGTTTAATTCATTTTATGTATATATATCAAAAGATAATGAAACTTAAAAATAGTAAATGATGATAACGAACCTCAAGCCATTTTTTCCCACTCTCTACCTCCCATATGGATATGCCTCCATTTTTGCTCTGTTATTAAGAGAATTGTAGGTTACTCTAATCAGCTTGAGAGGTTCTAAACCAATAGAATTAATTTTTTTTTTCCTTTGAAATTTACAATTCATCAATACCAAATAAGAAGTATTGTATCGAAAACCTAAAAATGTATCGAAATCTAGCTATTTTCGTAAAATTTGGATCAATAAGGAACAAAGGAATTAATAAACAACAATTAAATTTACCTGCATATACAGAAGCATATCAACGGCCTCATAAAGCCTCTCCACATCCATTTTCTCACCAATGAACTCGGTTGGCATGGTTTCAAAGATTAGGCAACACTAGACACGCCACACGCGAATTAGTAACCAAATCGTCGTTATCTAGAGAACTCAAAGAGATAAAAAAATTAATGCTTACCTCTAAACTCTCAGAAGTACAATCTGAGACAAACCATCCTTGATCTTTGTCTGAAAAACCCCACCCTCCTTTAGATCTATCTCTGAACATTTTGACAAAGTCACCTGGAGGGTCCTCTGTAAACTGAGAGTTCTTCAAGAAAGAGTATCCTTTTATGAGAGTTGATTTGATTTCCTCATCAACATCAGCAGCTAACATGACTTGTAGCATGAAGGGTGTATCCCAAAGTTGGCTACCAAACGTCTACACATTATGTTTATGATTTAATGATTTGTATTAGTGTCATATAATGATTTGTTTTAGTGTCATATAAGGTTAGAAACAAACCTGTATTTTTAGGCCATCCTCTGCAATCCAAATGTAACCAGGGACTTGAGCAAGATGTTTTTTAAAATAATCACTCTCTGGATCTTCAACCCAACAAGCAAGCATATGAAACGCCTAATATAAAAATTATTCGAAAAAAAACATGTAAATTTTTTATTTTTGTTTTGTTTACTCTTCTTTATCATAGTTCTTGATGTTTAATAACTTTAGTTACCTTTGGCACAGCTCCACCGGTAACATATTTGGTAGCTTCATCATGGTAGTGAATGAGATCCATCGCCTTTTCGACAGCTTTCGCTCGTATGAGCTTGTTAAAAGGCCATCGATTTACGATTTTTTCGGAAAATATGTGAACACTATTCCAAAATAAATCTTGTATAAAACTCTGTGGATAATATAGATCTTCCTGCATGCATCATCACATTTTGGTTTGTACCAATTAAATCTTAAGTTTCTAAACCATTGATCATCTTATAAGCATAATATAAATTACTTAAAATTATACCTTGGCGCAGCAATGGCGAGCTTTGCTCCAATCAATCTCATTATAAACCTCAGGGTAAATCTCTTCACGAAGCTGTAGAATGAGAGGTGTAGTTGTAGCTACAAATTTTTTACCAAATAAATAGGATATCGCCATGAAAGTATCCCGCAAATAAATCCAGAGAGTGCCTGCATGCAATGTTTATACGAGAAAAAAATTAAAGAGATAAACGAAACGAGATTTAGTAAAACTTCTATAAATTATTAACGTCAAAACTATGATATTTTATTTCGACAAATCAATAAAATATCATAGTTTCGACGTTATTAATTTATTAAAATATAATTGAGCTTAACATTATATATATTAAAAAAAAAATTATATATGTTATATTATTGTTAGATCTATGGTGGCGAGTGAGAGATGTAAAACACAAAAACAAAATATATTTATTTACATATATATATTATTATTAAGGATATCATCAGTATGTAGTGGTTCAAACACAAACCTCCATTAACAGGAAAATAAGAAGGTAAGAACCAGAACTCTGGTAGTATGGGTCTGCAACCAGACCAGTCATACACTCCAAGAACCTAAATTAAATTGAACAGAAAGAAAATAATTAGACAAAGCACAACCAAATCAAGAAGATTATCAAGAAAGTTACATACCGAAAGCCAAGCTTTTCCGAACAATGGTGTACCAGTTGCGCCGCCATGGTCAATGATCCATTTACGAGCCCTCGCACAGGCACTTGTCTTACCATCATGATCAGGATCTACTCCAAAGATTCTTAGGCAGATGTAGTTGATGACCGTGCAAAACATAAAACTATGGCTCTCTACATCTATTCCCCACCCACCATCTTCGTTCTTGATATCAAAAAAGAATTGGAAAAAAACAAAACATTACATTTGAAGTGATTTGGAAGACATCTAGTTCTATGATTAATATATACTTATACACATGTAACGTTTTATACGATATGTTTCAAGAGATAGTACCTGATGGATGTACAAGTAACGCAACATCTCTTTCCGATGCTCTAGAGAAAAGATTTTATCGAGATGGCCAGTGATATACAAGCATATGACCTAATATTTATTTTTTCATTAGCCTTTTTTTTATTTTAAACTATAGTTTTAGTCTAGATAATACTCAAATTAATGTGAAACTCACAAAAGGGGCGTTGAAGAACATACAACCAGCGTTTTCAGCTGGCCAATGTCCATCATCAGACTGCAAAGCTGCCATATAATGTATCCCTCTTTTCAAAGCCGTGTTCGCGTCTTCATATGTAATTTTCTCGGCGTTTTCTATTATTACTCGCGGAATCTTCTGTTCGAAGTTTTTCTCCCTAAGAAACTTTAAAACCAACAACAAAATTTTCATTATCGTTATATCGAATACCTAGTATAGTTTTTTCGCTAATTACCGCGGTGAAATTTTCTTTTTTTTACCTGCATACGCCAAAGGAGATCCGCGCTGGCTTTATATTGTGACCTATTTGCAGAGAAGTTTTTTCGAGCATGTTCGACCTCAGCAAGTTCCTCTGGAGAGCCTGCCTCCGGATCAAACTCCCATACCTGCTTTCCAACGTAGTTGTTGGTTGTGCTCAAGTAAGGATCACCTGCTGCCTTAGCTCCGATCTTTAACCTCCACATTTTGTAACAATTCTGCTAAGACAGAACAAGATCCATATGTTATGTAACCGTATTATCTACTATCAAAACAAATTTCGTCTATAACTATCATGTAGTGTTTTCCCAAATAGGTGAAACAATTCATGGTTATGTTTTTCATTCTTCTTAATTATTTAATTGTATACAAACTAAATTAAAAGAAAAAGAGAGAAATAATTTCAAACTGTAGACCTCTTACACTGATGGCTTGGATTAAAGAGCTTTTCTTGTGTAACCTTAAAGAGAGCACTGGCCTTGTCGTCTTTGATAGTAAAGGAAAGAGTAAGACACTTATATTTATAACCAAACAGGGCTGTCACAAAAAGTTCAATCGACTTTTTAAATTTAAAATTGGCAAAGAGATATTGTTATTATTTGAGGCAAATAAACAAATGAGATAATTGAAGCACATGCAACTTCTGCGTAGTACCTAGTGTAGGTGTATCTTTTACTTCTTGTCTTTAGTAAAGGTTTATATAGTTGAAAAAGTTTGCTTATGTATTTATTTATTTTCTTCACTTCAAAACGTGTATTTTTGTGTGATAGTACTTTTTTCTTAATTAATAACTGAGTTTCTATATAATAAATTAAAAAAATAAAGGTTTTCTTTGAATCAAATCATCATGGTATGTGGTTTGTTCACTCACATCTTTAAATTTAGAACTCAAAACAAAACAATAATTAATAGTCCCTCTTTTTCTTTTTAAGTGATGTTTAAATTTTTTAGAGATCTTATATTCATTCTCAGCCCATAAGTTCACCATTTTTAATGGATTGCACGTTTTTTACTAGATCCGTGAGCCTATCCATATTTAACGATGGGTTGCTACATCCGTGAAGTTTAAAGGCTTGTTTACTAACCCTACAAATAACTACATGATCTTTTTCTGTATTTTGGTATTATTCAAACAATTCTGATAACCACTTTCTAGAAGATCACTAATCATTTGACTATTCCAACATAAGTACGCTTAACTTTGGAGTTCTCTCCAAAATTTTGTCCGAAAAGATAAATACATTTAAATAACATAAGTGGTCAAATCAATTCATTTAAGTTTTTCCGCAAACCATAATCTCATAATTATACACAGATTAAGAAGACATATATAGTTTTTCTCTTTTCTATAAAAATACAATTTAAATACAATAAATTCAATTAATAAAAAAATGATATATATAATATTTTTGGTTAAAAATTATTAAATATATTAAATATTTGTATTAAAGTTAAACCATTACTTAAAATAAAATTTAATTTAATTCTTAAACATCATTTAAACTGAAACGGTTGAAGTGAGTATATTTTCCATATCACCAAAAATTTTGCATTGTATAAAGCTGGAATTAAAGACGTAAATAAATAAATGTACATCTTGTGTATAACTATCTTTAAATACTAGCCCTGGGCAAAATATTCGTTAGTTTCGCTTCGCTTCGATATTCGTTTCGATTCGATTCGAAAAATTCAAATATCTATAAGATATTAAACCGAAGCAAATATGAAAATGTAGTATTCGTAAAATCCGAAGCAAATAACAAATATTGATTTTCTTAGGGCCGAATATCCGCTTCGCTTCGTATATTTATATATATGTATAAATATAAATCATTATATAATATATATATCTTATAGGCCTATTATTCAAATTATTATATTTTGGCCCGTTGGTTTTTTTTGCAAAATGTTGTTCTTAAGCAAATAAAACTTTATTAGAAATTAATATTAAAAATAAAATGTGAGAATTCTATGGACGGTGGTTACATTTTCTTCTTATTTTGAAAACATGTCAAACAAGAACCTCTAATATCTCATATTTTGCACTTTATATTTATGTAATATATGTTTTTAGTTTTAAAAAAATTAGATGGGTCGAAGCGAAGCGAAGCAAGTAATTCGCAAATATTACGAAAAATATTCGAATATTCGAAATTCCGAATACTCGAAAATTTACGAATCGAAGCAAATAGCAAAATCAACTATTCGGTCGAAGCGAAGCAAATCACAAATATCATAAATTTTCCGAATATTCGCTTCGTGCCCAGGGCTATTAAATACTACAGAAAAGTTTATGTAATAATATTTAATAATTTATTTATTTTACTTTAAATTCCTTTTATTCTTTCAGAAGTTTGAGTACATTCTTTAGGCCTCGATTGGTAACCATGATTTAGGAAAAAAATGAGAAGGAATGTGACATTCCTCTTCATTCCTCAATTTTTTTACCATTTACGAGGAATCATTTTTCCACATCATTTCTCTACATTCCTCACAAAATGAGGAACAATAGAACAAAAATATTCCTCCCCAAAATTGATGAGGAACAAATGGAACAAAAAAAAGAACAAATATTTAAATTTTGTTTTTTATTTTAAAATAAATAAAAAATTATTTATTAATAATATTTTAATCTCATAATATAATATTTTCATATTTTTATCATGTATTGACATTAAAAAATATTTTTGATATGAATTTCATGTTAAAAAAGCTTACTATACATTATTTAAAATTTGTATGGATAGTAAAACATATTTAAGAGATGTTTATATCATAAATAACAAATAAAAATTACTATAATCTATAATAGGTTAATATAAATTATTAATTTTTAACATTAAATATTTAAATTCATTCAAAAATATATTTTAAAATTAGTGTCAAATTCATTATGTATAAATTATATCTAGTATTATTATTAAAAGTTGATTTATTTAATCAAATATATTATAAAAGATAGTGTTATTGTTTGGTTACCATTTATTATTTTGTTTTTCTCTGAATGTTTTCCTTTCATTCCTCAAAAGTTGTTTATTACGTTCCGTATTGTTCTTTTTTTTCTTTTTTCTTTTGTTCCTCTAATGGTTACCAGTAGAATCCTTAATAATTTATCTGTATCAGCGGCGGCCCAATCATGTAAACTCTTGAATTATTGCAGATACCTTTCCCACTTGACTTATCTATTTGTGATTCCCAATATTTATCCATTTATTTATTTTTTATTTTTTACATCTTGACAGTTATTGTTTATTTTATTATATTTGCAAACCTCAAACGTTTATATACAAGATGTACATATATAAAATGTCATAGTTTTCTATCCTTTCATTTCATATATGTAAGTATTATTAATTTATGTAAATGAAATTTATTATATTCATACCTATTTATGTGATGAGTATATTGTAAACATGTACTATTACTTGTGGTTGGACTTAGACATCCAAGACAAGTTCGAGTGTAATCGGTTTGTTCTCATTTAATAATATATAAAAAATTATGGGTAGGTCATTCCCCAAAATAATACTTAATATAAACTTAAAATATAATAATAAATATAAGACAATCAATTACTACTCTCTCTGAGGGTAATTTGACATATTTCACACAAATTTAAAAAATATTAAAATGCTAGTTGTTGATCCGTGCTGTGCGCGGGAAGTTTATAAAATTTTTATTTTATTTTTAGTTATATTATAATTTTTCGTTGTTTTTTTTTGTTTTGCATTGTTTGTTTTGTTCGCTTTTTACTGTTATTATTTTTTGTTATTCTATTTTCCATATCGATTATTTTTTCAATTTATAGTAATTTAGTATTTGAAATGTTTATCATCATTTGTTATTCGTCAGAGGTCGATGGAAAGTTTATGCGGTATTCTCTCTTTTTACTAAGTATGTGATTAGAGAGATAAAATATCCGATGTCTGGGTTTGATATATTCTAGGATCTGATTTGTTTCCCGTTTTTTCCTTACATTCAAACCCGTGTATTGCGGCCAATGATTTTGAAATCGGTATCGTTGTTGCAGATGTGTCGCTCTTGTAAACGATGGTTATAGAAAATGTTTTCCCTGTTCCGTTTAATCATCCAGTTCCAAACTCGTGTATCCCATGTTTTTCTGATTTTTACCCGGTTTGATTGTTATCTGTTAGACCTCATGTCCATGCTTTTCTTGATTTTGTATTTTGATTGTTGTGCAAGTGTTGGACCTCAAACCCATATTCTTTTGAATTTAGTAAAAAGAAAAATGATGATGTGGTGGATGATGTGGCGCTGACGTGGTGGATGATGTGGCGCTGACGTGGTGAAAGGAGAAAAGAGAAAAAGTAACTTTATATATATAGATACACATATGCCTTTATTTAATAAGTGATTTATGAGTTTAATTAGGTTTAAATTAATGGTAAAAGTAGGAAATTTAGTATAAAAGATGCATTGGAAATGTAAAATGACACTTTTTTTTTTGTCATCATTACAAATTATTACAAATTATTGGAAATGTAAAATGACACTTTTTTTTGTCATCATTTTTTTTGTCACTTTGAGAGGGACCGGATTCGAATCCGTATCTAGTGAAAAGGCAACAGAGGTGAGAACCATTACCCCACTTGTCCTTCTCTGCAAAATGACACTTTTTGTGAAATAATAATAAAATTTTAAAATAATATTCTTTATGAAACTAAAGGAATATTTAGTTATTTATCAATCATGTTTTCGTTGTAAAAACGTTATAGCCCAAATAATAAAGTTAATACACCAAAAACTACAATCTACAGATAGAAGTCTATAACTAAAGAAACAAATTAAAAAAAAAAACATATTTTCCAAAAACACTGTTAAAAGATAATCAACATCAAAATGTTTTGACTATGCGTTTTATTTTTCCAATCACAAAAGTGTTACCAATAATTTTATCAAAATTTTTACTCTCTGCTTTTTTATACAGCTTTTATATACCTCTCTTTTTTACAGTTTTACACAATTTTCTAAAAATTTATCGCTCTAACTTACAATTTATGTTACCAATCAGAAAAACGTCAAAACTATCTTAATTATTTTATGTAGATTTGGTGGTCAAATATGATCAAATACTCCAATTATTGGAGATGCATAAATAATTGTAAAAGATTTATCACATGACGAAATAATATCATAAAAATCATCAAGAAAAATAACACGGAAGATCAGCTAAATACCACACGACTTGCTGTCAACACTCACATGAATCATGATTGTGGTGGGACGATCAAAGAATAATCAAAGATCTAATACACCAAAGACCAACAATAATAACTAAAGAATCACCAAAGATCTAATACATCTAAATCACCGGCAAGTTGATATATACGATAGAAAATTAAAAGCCTCCGATCATCGATTTTCAAAAGACACATATATCGGCAGGTTGATTTAGATTAATACTATTAAAATATATATTATTCCAAACATTATAGCTCTACTCCTGACAAGTTATAGTTAATCC